TAATTAAAAACCATCTGCCATTTATTTGCTCAACTCACTAAATGATCTAGGTCCTTTTGTAAATCAGCAGCATCCTCTTCACAGCTAGCAACACCCAAAACGTTAATATCATCTGCAAATTTAAGTAATTTATTGTCTATCTCTTCATCTATGTCATTGATGTAAATCAAAAATAGAAAAGGTCCTAAGACTGAGCCCTGAGGTACCCCACTTATGACATTAATTCAGTTTGACTGAACTCCATTTGTAACAACCCTCTGCTTTCCTCCATCCAGCCACTCTTCTATCCAATTTACTAACTCATCCCCCACACTTATAGAGCTAATTTTTTTTATAAGCCTTTTAATTGGCACCTTGTCAAATGCTTTCTGAGAATCCAGATACACCAAATCTACATCCTTACCCTCATATACGCAAGCAGTAATATTTTCAAAGAATATCAAAAGATTTGTAAGGCAAGATTTTCCCTTAGTGAAACCATGTTGACTATCCAATAAAATTCTAAACTTTGTTAAATAACTTTGCAAAGCATCTTTTAACAGACTTTCCTAATGGGTCTATAATTACTGGGACAATTTTTATCACCTCCCTTGAAAAGAGAAGTTACATTAGCTAACTTCCAATCCTCTGGTACCTGCCCACTATTCAAGAACTGACAAAAAATAGTAGCAAGTGGCTCACATATCCAATCTTTTACCTCCTTCAAAACCTTTGGGGAAATATTATCTGGCCCAGGAGCCTTATCTTTTAAACTTCCCAATTTTTTCCTAACCAGCTCAGAATTAATGCAGTCATCTTATTTGGTCTCGTTTTCCATTTATCAACTGATCAGAATGTTGAATACTGCATAAATTTTCATTATCAAAAACTGAAGAAAAAGTAAAATTTAATAATCTAGCCATCTCATAATCATCAGATACTAGCCTTCCTTTATCATCCTTCAAGGGTTCTATCCCTATCCTTACATTTTGTTTCCCCTTAATGTATTTAAAGAAATTCTTACAGTTAATTTTTACATTTTCAGCCAACTTTTTGATCTTCTATAATCTTCTAAGTCTCCTGTCACACTAGTCAATTTAAATTTCTTAAACTTATGATGATTTTCTTTAATTTTATTTCTTAAACTCTTTGTGAGCCGATCTGGTTTTTTACTTGCAGCTACCCTTTTCAAAAATTTTCCACATCTGATCAGTGTCTCCAAATAACTCAGCTGCCCAATTCACAATAGATAACTCTTGTCGCATCCCTTCAAAATTTGCTTTTTGAAATTTGTAACCAAAATATCATTATTCCTTATCTCCATATGCAGCAAAACATTGAACCTAATAGAGCAATGATCATTTGCACCCAGATGTTCCCCAATTTCCACCCTCTCAATCATTTCTGTATTTGAAGTTAACAATAACTCTAAAAAAAACAGTGTTTCTAGTTGGTTCCTTGACTAACTGGTGAAGAAAGCTATCCTGAACAGTTTCCAAAAACCTTTCTCCCTCGTGGTTTGATTCTAGAATATCTCAATCTATATGCCTGAAATTAAAATCACCCATAATTATGACTTCATTAATAGCTGAAATCTTAATCTCATTGTAAAGTTTCTCACTAATTTCATCAGTATCATTTGGTGGTCTGTAACAAATTCCCACTAAAAGCCTTTTCCCTTTATATCCACCAATAGAAACCGAAATGGATTCAATCTCTTTGCTATTATCTTTGATATCCTCAACTTCAACAGGATATAACTCACGTTATACAACCAGCCAATCTGCTCATCCTTACATACCAACCTCTAGCATTTACTTAGCCCTAATGACCTACTTATGACTTCATCCCCACAGTTAATTCTACGCAGTATCCCTCACAAAATTAAGTTATGGACATTTTCTTAAATTGCCTTTATCAACTCCTTATACTTATTAATTAGCTCCTCTGACCTACCTTTCCCTACATCATTAGCCCCTACATGCACTACAAAAACTGCATCTCTGCTAATCCTCTTTGTTATATCTCTTGCTCTGTCAGTTATATCCTCCACCTGTACCCCTGAGCAGCATAATCTGATTCTTTTCTCCCTATTTACCCCATAGACTATTCTACCCACATGCCTTATCAAGGAATCACCTATAACTATAACCCTCTTATCATCCACATCCTTCTCTGCCCCTTTTGTTTTCATTCCCTCCAATAGTTGTCCATCTGCAGAAGCCAAGGGCTGAAATTTGTTGCTCAACAGAATAGGCTCATTATAACTAAATTCACCACTTTTAGCCCTGACAGTACTCTTTTTAACTTCCTTAAAGTAACTGTTAGCTGATGTATCCCTTGCATGTAAAAGCTTAAGCTCCTCCTGAATTCCTGCTGCCATTTCCCACAACCTACACTTCTCTTTATCTATGGCATCAACTTTAATCATGATTGCCTTTAACTTTTCCTCCAACCTACAAAATCTTCATAAACATTGTACATCTTCATTACTAGTTTCCTTAAAAGTACATTCCAGTCCTGAGTTCCCAAATAAAACCTACTCCTCACACCCATTACAACTAAAAAACTGTGAACACTTAACTCCTACACTAGTCTTAACCATTGTATTTACAGTTATACTGTTATAGCCTGAAAGTGAAAATACTCAATACCAAATACCAGTAGCTTATTGTTAACACTGTTACTGTTAAGCCTAACGTTTAAGAACCAATTATATAATTTTTTTATCACTACTTTATCTTCACACTAAAGTAATAAAGTTTATCTTTAATTATATAGAACTTAATTTATTATAACCATATACATTAACGTATTTACTTTACCCAGATTTATATTACATCCTACTTATATCTATAAAGTATAAGCTGAATTTAAAGTAATGGATCTAAGTTTAAATAAACACGTTAATTCTAGAACACCAAGAAACAATAAACTAATTTTTAGATTGTATTTACTTAATAAAACAATTTATTTATCCTGTTTTACAATTTACTAGTGAGTATAAATATACCTATGTGTAAAGTACCATTAAACATACTAAGCCTATTTTAACATTGTAATAATAATTTACACCCCTAGACTTTAACTTAAAACTTTTATTGTCTTACTTTTATTTGTCAATCTTATTATATCTAGTTATAATGGTGTTATTTAACCCAAATTACTACAAATAATAATAATAATATTAAATAACTTTCATAAATTTATCAGCTTAGCTTTTCAAAGTCCTCCTTCTTCAGTAGTGCCCTCTCAATGATGTTAACTCAAAGCAACTTACTGATGTGGTCTTAGGTATGGGCATACAATTTGTTATAGTAATAAAAACAATAAGTGTAACAATACAAGTATAAATGTATATATATATACACGAATGTAGAAGTACATACATACTTAAAATATATAAACATGTGTGGTATATTCAGGTGAACTGAATACAAGTTTGAACTTCACAGAATAACAAGTTACATGACTAGATATCAATTATTGAATAATACTAAATCTTTTATCAGTGTTAAATGAAATAATACGACTGGATAAAAATTAATACACAAAATGAACAATCATTATTATAAACCAAACACAAACATAGTATGTCCACTTACAATTGACTGACTACTGATGACCAAGTTCTAAACTGACTTGAATGATGTTCCAAACCAGACTGGCTGATCCAAGGTTTCTTAGAGTAAAAGAAACCTTGTATTTACCCAACATGGCATGTGTTACCATGTCATTACACATAGCTGAGGCCATAACATCTAGATATCACCTGAACAACTGTTGAAGAACACTGCTGTTAAAATCCTTACATAAGGTTGCATTATGCAATGTTCCATAGCTCCATGAGCAGTAACAATAGGACAGAGCAATTAATGGTATTTGCAGATTGGTTAATCAATAACATTTAATTAAGTGATAAGTACAGTGTTTTTCAAACCATGGTACCAACAAGCAAAGAAAAAAAAACTTGATGACAGGTACTGCCAGCCAGTTGCTTTCCCTTCTATTCAGCAATTCAAAATCGATAGCCTTAGTAGATTTGCTATAACAAAGACAGGGTGAGCAAGTCTGGTGGCAATATTTTGGTTACTTGGTTATTTGGAATAACTAAAAATATTAATTATGAGAAATTCTGATTTTGATTAGTTGATTATTTTCATGACAATTTATTTTCAGAATAATCAAAAACAGTAACAATTGGAAACTAATTTTGATTATTTGATTATATTTATGCCAATGAATATAATTTGAATTTTTATTAATCAATTATTGGAATAATCAAAATCAGTTATAATAATTGGAAACTAATTTTTGATTAATAATTTTAATCATTATTTTGATTAATCATCTTAATCATAATTTTGATTAATCAATTAGTTTATGCAACACTAACTGAAGTATCACTGCTCATAAGTAATTGATTTAAATTGCCCATTTATAGTGACAGTTATTATCTACTTCTGAGAATAACAAAGAATAAATTCAGAATACACTATTATAATATTACAAGAAGATAGAAACACATGATATATTCATATACTATGTATACAAGGAATAAACCATATACATAAGTGCACTAATATTTTCACACACACACACACACATATATATATATATGTACCAATGCAAATACATAATAGGCTAAAACCCACAAACACTAATTTGCATATGAGCCATTTAAATTTACCATCAAAGTGAAATAAGATATTTAAAGTGTTCATTCTTCATCTCTATTAATTGACAGTGACTCCTTGCATTTTATGTCAAGACAACTATAAAATTTACTCTGTATATCAATATCAAAATGGTCATGAGACGTAGGTAACCCATGCTCATTAATAAGATATGCTGCTACAGCACACTTATCACAATCATCCATCATAGTAGCTTGATGAGGTGCCATAAATTATTCTCTAACAGATCTTTCTGTTTCCCTAATATATATTTCTTTGGATAAATTGCAATAAATACTATAAATAAAATCAAATCAAAAACACCTTAGGTGTGAATAAAATGGAATCAATATTGGCAGCCAAACTGGTAGCTATATTTATAGCATTGATAAGAATTTTACAGCAAATATTATTTCATTAGTTAGTTAGGCCACATTTTTCATTTAACTTGGGGCTTGATGGTGGGTAAAACAAAATATGTGGCCTAACTGACTAATGAATGAATATTTGCTGTAAAATTCCAATCAATGCTATAAAAGCATAGCTACCAGTTTGGTCACCAATTTTGATTTCATTACTTTAAGTCGCATGCTCAATCTTTTTTGGTAGCACTTTTTTTTCACATCTAAGGTTAATTTTTATTAGATATGACTTTTTGTCAATACGCACCAACAAACCATAGTAAGTAAAAAAGTGACACTTGATAGTAATCCACATTAGCTTTAGGATCTCAACCCAAATATTTGTAACAGACTTATATTTAAAGAACAAATCAGATTCTTTAAAATATATGGTTGTAGTTTTCCTCTCTAAAATAGTGTTAATAACTTCCTTTATAGTAACATCATGGAAACTAGATTAATAATTTCTTGTCATCACCTGCATGCACTCGGTACAACCGTATCAAGCATCATTATCTATGGTAATTGCTTAAGCTAATATCACATGATGCTTAACACTCTTTAATTTGTGCTTAAAGGCTGGAAATGAATAATAACCATTCACCTGTATGATTCTTTGAAAACTTGAGATAGAAACTGCTAATCTAGTTTGCTTGGCCTAACCAATACTTATGTATCTGCTCGTAGGTGAAGCTGTATTAAAAATTTCAGACTGATAGATCAAGTGACTTTTTCCCATAGGTGAGCTCAAAAATTTTGGTCAAAATTGAGCAGTTTTTTAATAACTTTGCACATGTATATTCAAACCAAATTTGACATCTAATTGTAGGTTATAAAGATTTATCAGTGTACCAAGTTTGAAAAACATTCATGAAAGTTAAGTTTGTTTGTTTGTAATCTAGCACAAAGCTGCACAATGGACCACCACAGGTACTGAAACTCAAATTCTAGCATTGTAAGTCCGCAGACATACCGCTGTATCACTGGGGGGCTGAAAATTAAGTATGTTTTTCTATCAAATAAAATTTTTGTACTTTTGGTGCAAAGAGAAAAAAAGAGGAAGAAATTAAATCAAAATTGGAAATATTATATCTTGTATATTTCTTAATGGATTGCCTTGAAATTTGATATGTAAAGTAAGGTTCCAGTAGAGCATATCCACTTCAAACAGTTTGGATTACCACAATCTGAGCTACAGAAAGTGGAAAACTGCTAAACTATTGCTCCTGTTGGTAACACACAGTATGTCCTGCAGGTTATTTTGGCTGCACAACACACTACCGTATGTCTTGAGATCTCATTCCGTATTTCTTTTGTTGACCCAGTTTACATGTAATATAATTAATTTTCTGTTAGTCATTGGGGGGTGGGTGGCTTAAATGCTGACTGAATGAACTAAATGCAACTTAAGAGGCATCCTGCCTTTTCTATTTACTGTGTAGACATACCAGATCCCCTCACAGTATTCCTAAAGATACTTCCAACTCTAGGGCTAATAAATGGAATTTGAAAATTAAAAAAAAACCCTAGAAAAGTGAAAAGTACCTTCAGTTATCCTTTAAGGTAGCCATTCTATCTTAAAATCTCTTCACAGTGTCTTCTTGCAATAGTCAACTCATACAGATGCTACAAGTGAAGTGCAGAAAAATCTTGTTAATTGACATTTTGTAGAAGGCCAGCATTTATTCAAGAACATAAAAAGACTTTCAAATACTGTTTATTAGCCCTAGGTTACTAATATTTCTAAGAATGCTGTAAGGGAATGTGGTTTGCCTATATGGATAATAGAAAAACCAGGATGGTACTTTAAGTTTCATTTAGTGCAGTCAGCATTTTAAACCCCCTAATAACAGTATAGAAAATTAACTGTATTTCATGTAAACCGGGTCTTCAAAAGAAATACATGAAGTGAGATCTTACTTGCTGTATTTAGTGCAATGTTTTCAAAGAAAGATTTTTTGGGATAACAGAGAGACCTAGTAGAGACTATTCTATAAAACATTTTCGAGCTACTGGCGAGTGCTGTAGAATTGCATATTATTTATGAACAAGACTTACCTATGTCTGACCACCATTTCACTATTAATTTACAGTAAATAACCTGGTTGTCTTTACAAACAATAAAATTAAAGCGTCCCTCCTTATCAGATCTAGGTAACTTTCAAAATAAAGATAAAGGATGGCTACTTTTAACTACTTATTTTCCTTTGTTGGTAAGTTTAGATGACTACTATGCAAACTGGTAATTGTGGGTTTTGGTGTGTGTGTGTGTGTGTATGTATATATATATATATTAGTGCACCTTTATATATGGATGCTTCATTGTATATTTACATATTTTATGTATGTATTTCTATATTCATCAATATTTGATTTGTCGTGTGTGTGCAAGCACATATAGCTATATATGTTCTCTTTGTTATGTTTATTGGGTTTTTTACTACTGTAGAAACTGCATATTAATATTTCTGCATGTATGTCAATGCTTAAAAACACATTGTTAATTTTGCTTTGATGTAATGTAAACAGTTAGGCTTGCTAAGATTACTTTTGTATTTAATAGGGTCACCTCTTGAGAAAGCTATAAGGCAAAATGCTGTCAACAACAAAAATATTTACTGGCTACTGGCTGTTTCTCTTTTTACAAAATATGTTTACACACCAGTGGTCACAAAATTATTTCAATTTCACAAAATTACCTGTTAGTCACCATTCCTTGAAAGTAACAATTGTTATTGATGTCTACTCTGTCTTCATTGATCCTGATAAAGAAATCCTGTGCTTTATATGCCCTAATACTACTAGCTCCACTTATAGTCTCAGAGAAGTTGTTGTATATGGGTGATCTGGTTACAGATTCTAAGCGCTTTAACTGACGAGAAACTGCCAAATAAACTCTCTGAAACATAAATACATAAGAGCATCAAACAATTTTTCTTTTACATGCTACTTTTTTTTATTAATAATTATTTTGTAAGAATAATATATAATCCTTAAGCTAACAAAATCTCTGTAGATATTGTTTAAAATATCATATCTTTAGACAGGAAAATAAACCTTCTTTGTTGCATATATTTCCTTATGATAGTTTTGTGTAAAATGTAAAGAACTCAAAAAGTATCATATTTAAATGTTTTTAATCTGTACTTGTGAATTACAAAAAAAGTTTGGAAAATGATCATGCAAACTATGATTTTAAATTTCTTTCACTTTTTGAATTGTTTTAGTATTGAATTGCAAAATACCTGTAATAGGTAGTAGAGGCCAGAAAAAGGAATAACAGCAACAATAAAGATAGGATTACTCAGTGATATGACCACAAATGCTCCTATCAGAGCAAAAAAATAATCCAAGAATCCTTTAAAAGCTATGGGAATCAAGGTATCCACAACATCTACATCTTTACCAAATCTGTAATAATAAAAACATATTTCAGAAAAGAAATAAATAACTAATTTGACACACATTTTGAAGTTTTGAATTACCATTAAAATAAATCTAAGTATATATATATATATATATATATATTATTTTCAATACACAAGTACTGAAATAATTCAACATCTCAAAAAGCATAAACAGTGTGTTCCTTCAGATGACAGTTAGTGTAAAGTAAACCCATAAAATGAATGGCCACGTAATATTCAATACCGAATTTTAGGAATCTTCACAACACTATTTCATGGTACTTATATAAAACAACTTAAAACTGAAATTTATTATTCTACTACTGATTTATAAAGCATATACATTTAGAATATTTTTTTTATTTATATACCTCAAAATTTTACAAAATACTTACACAATATTTTCCTGGTTAAGTGAGCTATCTAAAATTATGATATGTTACAGAATGTGGGTTCTCCATAAATCTTGTTTTTATACTCATTATGTATTAAAATGTAAATGTATTTCTGATAGATACTTATTAGCTTTTTCCAATTTTGTGCTGTTCTCTGTATGTGTAACTTTTTGCTTGCCACTAGCCTTGAGGCTCTCACCTAAATTCATGTTCCCATGTGCTATTGCTGCACTGTAGCATGTAAATGAGCATGCTACACATCCTCATAGTGCAGGTAACTCACTCTATACTGATTGTTTAATCATCACTTCAGGATTAAGCAAGAAAAGGCACACCAGAAGTGGGGAGGACAGGTAGGAAGTGTGAGAGAAAGGTAAGTATCTATTAGAAATATATTTTCAGTGTTGGAAAATGATAACTTCCTATACAAGACCTTACTTCCTCTCACATATTAGCTAGAATTCCACATTGAAATGGTGTAAAGAACGATGCAAAAGTTACTTAAATGAGCCCCCTTCAAAAAGTGCCTGAAGGGAAACCATGGAGTGTGATACCCCTAGACCATGGAAAAGTATATGGGCACAACCGTGGGAGACCATGTCCCTTCTGTACTAGGATATACTCTTCACCTATAATAAAGATACAAGTTTCTAAATTAGGTCAAAATCATGCACAGCACAGAACTTGGGTATGGAAAATGGATGTGCCAAATGGTGTAGTGTGGTTTAGTTGCATCAGTTGGGTCAACTTCAATCCAAAACCAGGCAACATCAGGTATTTTTCATCTGGTCTGCAGTAGATGGAGGTTCCAAACCATCTTCACCTTAATCTCAGGAAGCAGAAGAGAAAGTAACCTGTGATGTGCTGATCTAGAGAGTGCTCATGTGTGCTGTCCTTGCACAAATCCAACACCAGACCACCTGGGAAGTTGACCTTCAGGGAACAGGAAGATGGGGGGGGGGGACATACATGGTGGGTTCACTCCTGTCCAAAACCAGGTAGATATTTGTCCTCCAGTCTGCAGTAGGTCCTGCACCTACCCAACACTAGACCACCCAGAAACTGACATTCATGCAGCAGTAGGATAGAGAAAAGCCAGCTGGAGGGGTTAATTGTACTTGTTGGGTCAACTCCTGTCCAAAAACAGGTGGCCTCTGGAATTTTTCATCCATTCAATAGTAGGAAGAGGGTATGTACCATCTACACCAACAGAACACAACCGCCCTACTCTTTACTCAGCAAAATTGCTCACACTCAGGAGGAAGCCTCCTGAGCCCACTGCCACAGTGGTTAGGAACTAATGAGTGGCAACGACCCATTGTTAGGTTTTTATAGGGCCTTGATTCTTTACAGTAAGTGTCTTTGACTTGTTGGTGATAAATTTCAACAATAAATGGACAGCACACAATCTACTTGTTTTAAAAGTTATAATTTTCCTATACTGAAAATGTATTTCTGATAGGTACTTCCCTCCAATCACAAGATGAGCTTTTCCCATTTTGTTCTGCCCTCTATATGCAAACTTTTTTATAACTCATGCCACAAGCCTTCCACACACCCTTACTGGAATCAAAGATAACAACATGTCACTCATGCAAATCATCATGTGTCATCTCTACATCAATAGGAGAGCACTACTATCAAATGATGCATGTGACTCCCTCTATGCACCACTACTGAGGATGGGAAGTGTGAGTGGAGGGAAGTACCTATTGGAAATACATTTTCAGTATAGGAAAATTATAACTTCCAATACAGTACTTCTCTCCCCTCACAAGATTAGCTAGAATCCCACACTGATAAGGAGGAGGGACCAGTGTGAGGGAATGACAGAAATACCCCCTGAAAGCATTTGAAGGATACCTCTGGAATTGAGAGATTCAGATCCGAAGATCAGAGGAGGGGAACCAAACCACTTCTGAACCAGGTATCTCCCCCGCTATGAATAGTTAGCAACAAACATGGCGGTAAAGGAAGGGAGCACATCCGAGTGAGAGAGGATAAGTCAGGAAAGTGATCCCATCTGGACAAATATAGAAACTCAATCCCACAGAAGGAAAGTGGGTAATGGAGGATGCGTCCCATGGTGTAGAATGGGTAGGACGTGGTGTACCATAACTCAGTAAGTCAACTACATCCAAAACCTTCTTGCTGGGTACCGACATCCATGCAAGGGTAGAAGGAGGATCTTACCGGCTTCACTTCAACCCCAAAATCGTGAATGTGAAAAAAACACCGACTCCAGGGCATGACACAGGATTAGCATTGAGCCCTACTCTGAACTGAATGGTTATAGCCATCTATGTGGAGCCCATCCAGCAGGATGCCTCCTGGGTCAACCACCTTAGTGGTTCGGAAGAAGAGGGGGAGTACATTGGAGAGTCTGGAGGAATGGCTACACCTGAAACAGTGAAATGGGTGATCACAAAACCCTATTTTGAAAAGGAGACCATACTTATTTATTCAATTGAGGCATGGCAGGGATGGGCTTCTGCTTTACCCATGCTTTACAGTTTGGGACAGGTCTATTTATGAAGCAAATATCAAGAGGTTATTGACCATCCAGTGATTTTGTGAAACACCCCATCTCAAAGGTGAGTGTGTGGAGCCATGAAAAGAGCATGTGAATCAACATATCATACAATGCAGATTTATTGGGTATGTAAAGAATACCTGGTCAGGCACCACTCGCCACTGAGCAGGACCCAAGAGATGAAATTTGAGGTAAGAGCCCCTAAAAGAAAAGAAAGCATTAATAAAGACTTACCTAGTGTCATAGCTGCACTGAAATCTGAAGTATAGCCACAGGTAGGCAGAAACTGCGACATAATGTAAGTAATGGGAGATGAACAACTGAGGGATGGACAAAATGCCCAACTGCAGAATCTCCTCCAAAGGCCGAAGGAGACCAGAAGCAAGGGAAAAGGTGAGGTGTCAGATTTCATGGGAGGTAACATGGAACAAAGCAATTTGGAAAGGGGACAAGGAGGAATAAGCCAACTGGATTAAACGACAAACATAATTATTAAGGGGTAGAGGAAAAACAATTTTGAGAAGAAGAGGGTTACCATGGGATAACGAGATGGAAATGGGAACCCCTGAAGGAAGCCATGTGGGCAATATAACAATGAAGGGCATGTACTGGGCATAGAAGTCTATCCGGATCAGAACAAGGGTATAGATGAGAAATAGAGAGAAGCAAAATGGGTGAAAAGGAGGAGTTACCCTCTCGAGCTGCAAAGGTCTTGGGAAGGAAAGAACGATCCAGATAAAGGAGAAGATAAGTTTGGTGGTATACAGTAGGCAAATGATGTTGATACTGAACAGATCCAATCGATGCTGTCCGCAGGTCAAGAGGAGAAGGTGAAACAAAGAGCATGAGGTAAGGGGCTCAAATAGAGGTAAAGTAAGGGAATGGAGTACCACATTAACTCTTTCAGCATGGGCTTGGTCCCTGGGACAGACCTCATAACCATTTTGTGTTTGTTAGTTTTCATGCTATAACTTTTAAATTAGTAAGCGATTGTTAAAAAAATTTAGCAGATTATTAGTAAACATTACAATGCTTTCATACACAAAATATCTAATTTATTTATTAAGTCTTAAGGTTTGTAAAGCAATGTTTTTCTCATGTCTTTTTTTTTCTTTTCACATGTTGCCTATCTATCATGCAATTTCATAACTTTTTAGACTAAAATACATCTTAGTTACTAAGCTTGATAAATTATAGTGGAATTCTAGGGTATTGATGTAGTCATTTGTGATTTTTTTTAGTTATTCAAATGTATATATAAAACCTAAAAAAAATATTTTGTTTCATATCCTCCAGTGCAAAATTGTTAAAGATTTAGCAAGCTACATCAAGCAGCAACCGAGTACAAAGGTCATAACTAGAAGAGATAATTGTTTGCTTTACTTATTTATTACTGTTCTATGTTTTAGGAAAAATGTTTCAGAACTTATTTCAAAATAGCAATAATCTATATACATATATAATGTATAATAATTGAAATGTGACTGTATTTAAAAAATACTAGTTGACTAAAACACATCTAAGACAAGTTACTTTGTACAGACAAAAGGTCAGTTTTGTGTTATTTGATACGGTAACATGAGTGCACGTAAGCTGCGTCATTTTAACTTCTGTATTGTAAGCTAGGCATGGGTGAAAGGTCAATATAATAAATATATATAAATGTATAATGTTATTAGATTTAAGCTATTTCATCTAAACATTTGTGTTTCGTGTTATGATTTGTTTTCATTGTAGAATGAAAGAGGCATAACTTATGTTTATTTTCTAATTTTTTTATGGTGGTTGCAAGACCGGTCGAATCTTCCGAACCCGTACAGAGATTAATTACTGAAAATAACAGATAAAGTATAAAGTTTTTTCTTAAGAAACGTTTGATAACTATCCAAACATTATAAATATTTTGTATATGAAATTTCAAAATTTTCTAATGCATAAAAGTATTTTTAATTTAAAATGAAAATTACTTTGCATGATAGATAGGTAAGATGTGAAAAAAAGGCATGAAAGAAACATTGCTTTACAAACCTTACGATTTAATAAAAAAATGAGATATTTTGCATATGAAAGCATTGT